GTGTGTGTGTGTAAGAGAGAGAGGTGAGGGGGTTAGGTGGACAAGATTCCCTGTACCATCCTGGCTTATCCCACTGGGCTTATCCCAGATCAGCAGGTGACCCACCACAGATAACTCCTGGAGTGGGACACTCAGTGCTGTGTGGGTGTTTGAACTCCTGCTGGGTTGGTTTTAACCCTCATGTCCTCTGACACACAAACACACAAACACACACACACACACACACACACACACGTACAGTGCGTAACAGGTGCATCTGTTACGAAGCGTTTTTTACGAAAGATCACATAACCATATATCCAACCATGATAGAATGTCTATATGATACAGTTTCACTTCTTTAATGGGGTTTGCATGAATCACTAGACAATAAAATAAAGAAAAATGCTAAAATAAAAAGTAAAAAAAAATATATATATATATATAAAAACGTAAAAAGGCATCCAACCTGGAAAATTTATTTACATTTTTACAAATGGTAATCTTCAGCAATGGATTAATTGAGCTGCTCAGGTGTTTTCTTTGGTGTTACCTTGATGCAAAACTGGTAGTCTGTGGGAGCGTTGTGTTTTCTGCCTGTGATGATGGTGAAGATGTTACTGTCCTCCAGATCTGACAGCAGTTGCAGGTGTCTGGGCTCCTGTTAAGTTGTGGGGAGGCAGAGGGAAAAGAGACGTCAGCATAAAGAAAAGAATTATAGACTGCTTTAAACTGTTTAACTTGTTTTAAAATTTATTTTGCTTTCCTTTTTTAAATTTAAGTTTTATTTAGTAAAAAATAAGAAGTTAACGTTTTATTGGATGACAAAATAAAACCATAATGTTGGAACCGCAAATAAGAGAAAGAAAAATTGAAAATCAACAGTAAAATAGCAACTCATATTTTACACAAAACACTGTCAACTGAAAAGTGAAACCATCACCACTACATTTGGTCTCCTTCTGATCAATTTCAGAATCAAAACAGCAATAATTTATCACCTTGGATGTTCCTTTAGTTGAGTAGTAGAGCCCCGAGCGGCGCAGGAACATGTAGAGTTTCTTCCAGGACTTGCGTCCAGGCTCTTTCAAGTACAGATAGCCCTGGATCTCTGGACAGCTGCTGGAGTTCAGAAAGTTCTACAAAAACACACAAACAGCATCTATCAGGAACACTGCTGCAAATGTTTCTGCTTCCAACATCCTACAAATTATGTTCATAGATATTGCGAAATCCATTTAAAAAAACGAGCAGGCATCACAGTAACAACGCTGGGTGAATGTAATTAGCAGATTTCAGGAAGTGTGTGCATGCATGCATATTTTTGGACTACCAGATGTCCTCAGAAAGGATAGGGGATAGGGGAAGCATTTTCTTGCTGTCACTCTTTGTTGAAGGTGGCTACTTTAGATTTAGGGTTAAGGATGGAATGGGTGTTTAAGTTAAGGTTTAGGGAATGAATCCTTTACATGTGTGATAGTCAATATGTTATGTGTCTCTTCACTGAGTCACCTCACCTGCAAGAGCTGTGACTGAGGGATTGAGCCATCAGACTCCTGACACCAAGCCACCATCTGCTCTGGAAAAAAGTTCTGGATGGAAAAACACAGCGAGAGAGAGAGA